AATTTGTTTGGTTTACTTTAGAAAATTGATATCTCTGGTATTACAAAATTTGAATTTTTAACAATAGCTATTATCCCCAAATGTATTTGTCAACCATTAATACACATCACGAAAAAGATGTTCCTCACTTTGCCATTAATATCGAAAACAGATTATTATTATTATACAGACAATGAAAATGGAAGAATAGTGACGAGTACAAAATAATAAACCAAACATATGTTATCTATTTAGTGGCCAAATAAATAAATAACATCAAAGTCCATACTATTATGGAGGTAGAAATATCTTCCTCCACCCCCAAAAAAAAATATAAAAAAAATGAATAATTGAATTGAAATTTGAAGGAAAAACATTCGGTGTAATCACTTTAGCAACCGTAAACAAGAACTCGTGTACTCCCAAATAAATTTTATTTGTCCGTTCAATTACAGAGTCAATCAGAATTGTCATGCTGAGCTGCCAACGTAAAATTGCATGAATCAATCTTGTCAAAGATTCAATCAAATTCAACACCTGTTTATTAACTATGTGAATATTTGTTACGCTTTGTCTTTTCAATTTTCTACGCTGGCCGAGGGTGTACTGTGCACGATTATTTATAATAGGTCTATGGATATTGATTTTCATCACCATCAGAATCATTTGACTGACTTTTAATGTTTTTTTCTTTGTTCCTCAATCTTCATTTTGGCTAAGCATAAACATTTTATCTACATGTGAGCTATACTTGCCCTTTTTTTTATAATTACCATTCTAATGCCAATTAGAATTGCCCCTGGTATTTGAAAAAGTTATTTGAGCCTTCATTGCCTCAGCAACAGATGGGAAACCCTCACCCACTCTCCTATAAACAACCATGTACGCGCGAATACTACTTCTTTTCGAAGCCGGCGTGCAGGTCGGTTCCACAGAGTCAGGTAGGAGGGAGGGCCTCATAGGTAAGTGAATCTCACGCATGATACATGGATTTTTGGTCACGTACATGCATATCTACTTCATCTTGCTTTACTTACCCGTTTCTTTCATAATTGCCAGATTCCAACAGAATTATGGATTGTGGGTCTGTGGAGTACTATAGGCCTTAACATAAAAAAATCTACTTCATAACATTATGTACCAATAGTAGCCTACTATAAATAATATCACGAGACACGCAAAAATGGGGCAAGATCCGTTGCCAGGGCAACCAGTGTCCAGAAGAAACAGGGCCATAACATAATTACTTTAATAATTGGAAAAGATAGAATTGCCGAGACAAAGGCAGCCGCACTAGAAATAACATCAGATATAGGTAGCAAAATACCAATGTATTAGGCTTATTCCATCAAGTGGTTTTCAAAATGTCTTCTATGATCCCGGGATGAGGGCCTGGACAAAGCTACACTCCTGGTATCATGGGCTCGTATCTGATGGGTAGGATGGTCGGGGGGGGGGGGGGGGAGGAGGAGGCCAATTTTTTTTGGGTCACCCTTTTGCACCCCCCCCCCCCCCGCTGCGTACGCGTCTGTGTGAGGGCATGTCAAAAGTATTGTCTCCCCCCTTAGGCTACTGTTAGCAGAAAGACAGTTTGCATTGTTAGATCTAAAGAAAGCTACCATGCATGGGCTCCAATGGTAGCTTAGTTAAGGCATGCAAGACTCTAGAAAGGCTAGACTCGACTTAACTTCTTTTGTGGAGGCCTAGAGAGAAGAATCATCCGAATAGCTTTGCAAGGTACTTAGAAGTACTTACTGTTTCTCCACCTTGGGATACCTTTATGGATGATTGACATTACTGATCTGTATCCTCTGATAGAAGAGATAGCTGTTCTGTATCCTCTGATAGAAGAGGTAGCTGATCTGTATCCTCTGATAGAAGAGATAGCTGATCTGTATCCTCTGATAGTTGAGATAGCAAGGTTCTTATCAAACAGGTGTATGAGAAAAGCTGCAATCTGAAGTTTATTGTTGCACCAACTAAAGAAGTACAAGGCAATATTGTCCTGAAATGATCCATAATGCCTGGGGTGGTACGTCATGGTTCCTGGTTGTCGAAGCAGGTCCTCATTGTTCAGGACTAACACAAGACAGTGGACTAGGACATTCACCAGAGTTGGAAACCAAGGGTGCTTCAGCCACCATGCTGGTCAACAGGTTTGCTCCATTTTCCTGGAACTTCCATAGCACTTTCGGTGTTATCACGTATGGTATGGGGGAAATGTGTTCCCCAGGATTTTCCTCCATGATATTGAGAGGGCATCCATTGTCAGAGCTGCTGGGTCGTTGTGCTTCATGCAGGATACTGGAAGGGTAGAGGCAAACCAGTCTACTTGGGGAGGCCCATACCTGTACAAGATCTGTCTGAGGGTTTGGATCGCGTTCCCACTCTGATGGGAGCTCTCCCGGGACAGGAAATCTGCCACACAGTTGTCCCCCCCCCCCCCCCCACCACCCGGCTCTCACCTGCTTGTTCATGTAGGAGATATGTGAGATTGTCCGACTTTATCAGCCCGGTTTGATGATGTAACCTGTCCTTGAAACTAAATAGAGCACATTTTATTGCTTGCATATCGGACATGTTTATGTATTGGGCCTTTTGTTCTCCTGTCCAATATCCTTGAACTCTTTCTGACACCAAAGCTGCACCCCACCCATATTCGATGCATCCGTGAAAATTGTTAGAAAGTGCTGGGGTTGTAAAGGTGGGTTAAGCCACCGACGTACGGCTTTGGTAAGGGGATCCCTTTGTGGGCGATACTGATGTAAGAAATCAATTTGGACCTTTCTCATTCTACATCTGCACTCAGGTGAAGTGTCTATGAGACTTGCAAGTAGGCCTAGGAATGCTTGTGCTTGGTCGATGTTGCTGATCTTTTGAGTAAGGAATGTCCCACCTGGTTTACTTTGTCTATCCTATGTGGGCGAGGATAAGTAAGGCAATTTTTTAGGTCTATTTTTTAGCCAAGAAATTTGAGGCTCTGAGCTGGGATTTCTCGTAATCTATCAGGAATCCTAGACTGGTTACCAGATCTTGTGTTATGCCTATGTGATAGCAAAGCATATCTGCTGACTCTGCCACTAGCTAGAGCCAGTCAGCTAGGTAGGCAAAGATTTTGATGCCCCAAAGGTGTGAATGAGCTATAATTTTCGTTATCGACATTACCTTAAAATGCCCAGATTTGCGCCTCTGGAATGTATTTTTGAGCCACTTACGGGACGCGTCTTTTTTCCCCGTAAGGTAGCCATCCTAGAATGCATATTAATATTTGCGTTGGTACGGGGAGGTGGAGATCAAATTCAAAATTAAATCGGCCAGATTCTGGACTAAATTAACTAGTTTGTCACAATGATTATGAACAAGTTACGACCTGGGTAGTCATTCGTTTATGGTAAGCCTCCCAATTTTGTCGCAACGTCACTTATTTAAAGTAAACTTAGCTTTGCATTTGTAATTTTTGTATGAAATTTCATGTTTGATAAATTATCGCATCAGATTCTGTGTGAGTGCGTATCATGAATATTGATGACTAGCGCATGACGTATAGGTCCTATTGAGCCAATCAAATGCAGCGACAGGATATACCTTACGGAAAAAAAAGACGCTTACGGGACTTACATACTTCCGGTGTATGCGTGCACGTTATTATGCGCATGCGCAATGTACGTACGGCCAGCCGAGATCGGATCAGCACAGTACAGCCGGATGAAATAGACCGGAAGCAACTAAGTCACCAAGCTATCCCAGAGTGCATTTGAAATGGGGGCACGAAAGTAACATTCAGGCATTTGGGGGAATTAATTGGCCATAGCGAAAAATGCAAAAATGCCCGATTGAGCCAGGGCTGTGATGCATTAGTTTTTAATAAAGAAAAGTATTGAGTTGAAATGAACTGTCTGTACACCTGGCAGTTAAAAGGAATGTAGACCTATTCACTCTTTTCATCTTATTCAACATTTAAGGAGGCACAAATTAGGTAAAAAAGTGTCTTAGGATAGTTATAAATTTCAATTTTAATTATATATATAATATCTTGTCTTTAGAATGTATTTGAATAAAATTGGTTGAATGAAATTGATCATTACGTTCTGCAGTGGACTGTCAGGTGAGATGAATTTGAATGAAATCTGACTAAATATTAATGGACAAGTGTTGAATTAATTGACCATTGACCAACTTGAATAACGAATACCAAAATTAACTTAATTAAATCAACCGAACTAAAGAATATAATGATAACTTTGAAGAAAAAAAAGGGATTAAAATGTTTCTGTTAACTCCAATGTAAAACGTTAAATTCAGTCTTCTGACTGACTGAATAAAGCCACAACCAAGGTAATGCAATTTTTAAAAACAGAATCCCACACGGGGATCTGCCAAAGAGCTGTGCAACAATGAACCAATCACATCCTTGACAACCAAAGGAAGAGGTTTGTCATCAAACAGCAGGGCACTATCATGTTTAACACAGACACTTTCCTCTTAGCTTATTACAATTGAGATCTTGACCCAACTAAAAAGAGTCATTGGTTAAAAATGATATTTCAGCTTCACTCTAATATAGAACGACCAGTCAACTAACCATTGAAATTAAAGATTAAGATTCTATTTTCATACCATTTTTCAAGGTTGACGTTTACCCAATTAAGAACATTTCAAAGTAAAAATGAATAAATTATGGTTCAAAGAACAGAAGGGGGGGGGGGTGAGTGGAGAAGGTTCCATAGCAAAACCTGTACTGGATTTAACTCAGAGATAACTTCTGTAAATTTGTTTGCACACATACTCACAAGTCTCTCTTATCTATATTTAGTGAGTGTGTATTAACTTTTAACGATTTTTATAACAAAAGTAAAATATTGAGCTGATATTTTGAATATAGTTTTAGGGTTGGCAATTTCCTGCCCAAGCAGGAAATACTGGCAACCACTGGGAAATACCTGTTAATACCTGAAAAATATATTGTATGTGTACCATTAAAATTGTAAATGTGAAATAACAAACATAGCAATGCCTTTCAATCTGAGTAAACTCCAACAATTAGACTTTACATATTTTGTTGTTTATTTTCAATAACTTCATAGGTTTCTTAGAACTTACATTGCTTATATGGATATTCCATTCACATTTTAAAGATACAAATTCAAGACATGTTGCACCAACTTCTGTTGGCTACAAATGAGCTGCCAATCTTCAGGCAGTACATGTATGGATGAAAACCAAATTATACTGAATAGTTACTGATTGAAATGCTCTAAATCAACTTACAGTGTACAAGAAAATTTGAAGATGCACCAATGAGAATCATACAGTCGAACAAATATTAGCAAGCTGGAAAAAAAAACACATCTTTGATGAGCAACTTGTACAAGGGAGGGAGAGAGGAAACCTGTATGGCACTGTCAATTTTGGGTAGCACAACAGGCCCATGCCCCCCCCTCCTTTTTACAATGTATGCAGCATATCTTAAAAACACAACCAACAATATGTGCCCCCTTAAAAATGTTGACCCCAAATGCACCTGAATTATGTGATAACATATTTTCTTTTTGTTTGCTCTTTAAACCTGCTTAAAACTGTGCTCCCTTCATATGTCTGGTTGGTCCTGCATTATGTAAAATTCATTTGATCAGAGCCAATCCTTTCCCATAAATAAATTGGGGCTTGTCTAATTGTCTTAATAGTATGTAGGACCAATTCTCAGTACATGCAGCAATACAGAAGTGCCCCTTGGAGTCGTATTGTGAAGAATAGAATATTGAAATAATATGAATTCATTGCTTCAAATTAATGTGTTATATCCCCATTGCCTAATATCCAGTAGGAAAAAACAGGTGACCACATGACCTATTTGATGAAGTAATGGTGGGTGAGTTTTTAAACTGCATTTAATGTAAAATAATAGTGTGCCCATTCATTATTTTAAGCAGTTGTATGACCCCTACCATAATTTTCATTCTTTCTTTATGTTTAATAATGATGTTCTTCAATGATCTAAATATCAAAAGATATTTTACAGGAAACAAAATGTTGTTTATGTAGTATTTCCCAGTATTTCCTGTTTGGCAGTACTAACCCCCTGGTACATGAATTTCCGGGCCGGTATTTACTGACCAACCCTGTTACTGTTAAGTAACTACAAAAATACAGTGGGAAAGATGTCAGTGAATTTTCTATTTCCATAATTTCTGGTGTGTATGGGATGGGGTAGTGGGACATAATATGTATCAACTGAGAACCTGTTAGCATAAGTGCATGATATAATGTAGATTCAGTGTCAGGGATCAACCCTTTACCCAACTATCTACATCATACCACTTTCACTCCAGTGTAGTTTCCCCCAATAAAAAAAATACAGGTTGGCACATTGTCTCCTTTATTTGACCCGACAGCTTCCAGATCTCGTGGCATCCGTACAAGATATTATACTACCATGGCAATAAATAACATACAATAAAATGCAAAAGTCAACTTGCCTCATTAAAGCCTTTTCAGATATGACAAGACAAAACCACTGCATTTCGGTGTTATTTTTGAGGGTTCATACGTTTCACATTTCTCTATCTTATAACACAGAGCTCAGTAAACCTTTGTATTTTGCAGTTGCCATTCAGTTACACAATTTTTTTAAAAGCGGTTGATTTTTTACTGCGTCATATATCAACGAGCATTAAAGAAACCAAAGGTTAGTAGAAATAAATGTGAAATTTACGAGATGAAAAGCAAAAAATTTGAAGTCTTAAACAGAGTTTGGTGCCAAAAGTTGGGCAGGTCTAGATAATTGTTTTAGCCTTCATTTTGTGGCATGAAGGTTTTGCAATCGTTTTAGGCACACATAAGTTTCTGGTTTTAGAGGAGTGAGGAGCCCTTGTGTAGGGCAAAGTGGAAACATGCTAATGTAGCCCCTGTTTTAAGTGATTTCACCAGCTTGACTTATAATTGGCAAGCACGATTCCCTTATCTGCAGTCACTAGAATCTCAATGCAGTTGCATTTACATGGAATCAAATACAAGACAAAAATGAAATCACTTGAAATATGAATAAGTCTCACCAACTTAGTTCCATAATACACAAATTGAAGTGGATGTGAGGCTTAAGAGTTTTAAATTCAAATTCATTAATCTTGTTTTGAGTATCTAATGAATACATTTATGAAGGTCGAAATGACATAGTAATCCATTTCTTACTGATAAAGACAGTTACTCTGGCTCTATGATTATAATTCTTGACAGGCTGCTCTTGGCACTCATTCATGAAATTGATTATGACTTTCAGGTTCATTGTACAATACACATACCTTTATTTCTAAAAGTAATTTAGACTGCTCTCCTGCGACAAAAAAAAATAATCTGTGTTTTAGGCTGAACAAAATTATTTGAATGAACTCCAAAAATATGGAAATTTTCACCTCGTGGAATGAACAAACAAAACATGTAGGTTGAGAGACTGGTGAAGAGAGGAGAGGGGGAGAGGTGGAAGAGAGATAAAAGGTAGAAGAAAAAAGAGCAGGAATAAAGAGGGAGTGGTTGGGGAGGGATGGAGAGAGAGAGAGAGAGAGAGGGGGGGGGGGGGAGGAAACAAAAGGTAAACATACTAATTCTTGTGACTATAAAGCTTATTTGCAAGATACTTGAATATTCAGTGTAACGAAAATATAGTGTATAAACTTTTTTTAAGTGTAATTCTACTACCATCTTGCTGTTATGTCATAAAGGCATTCTCATTCTTCAGCTTCTCTAGTTCTAGGACTTGTTTACGAAGAAATAATACTCTGCAGGAGGAGACAAAAATAAAAAGGAAAGAAAGGAAATCAAAAGAAAAATATTGTAAGTTTAAACCCTAAAAATTGGGCTCTTTCTGAGGTCTTCAGTCTTACAGTACTGGGGTTGGGAGGTGGGCATAGACAATTTGGAATGCATGTCAAATAATTTCATGCCACATCACTATCTGACCCCTATTTTTAAATTCTTGTGAATATTCTGCAATTTTGTTTCTAAAATTAAAAATGGCAAAATTTGTTTACCATTACTGAATCATATGACCTTTTATGACCTCATGTCAGATGGAAAACATAGTTTCTAAGTTCTGTTAAGAAATAAGCCATGTTCAATATGCACTTGGCAACAAGATTATACATTCACCTGTTTTTTTTTATATACATGTAATATTGTACTTCAATAGTCATGTGAATTGCACTCATTAGTTGTTGCTAGGTAGGAAAACATGTCTTGCCCTACCTAACAACACATAATTAATGCAATATGCATTCTGACTATTAACATTTTGTAATAGATGAATGAAATCATTTGCAAAGATATATGTTTTAAATTTGATTAAAATGCAAAAGTGGCCTATTACTTGGCAAACTGTTTCTCTGTATGTTCTTTCGAAATCTATTATAACTTGATTTCAAGCTGTAATTATTATCTATTCTAACTAAGTGATGCTTCAAATAATACCCTTGAACAGCAGGCCTCGAAAACAGTGAAAAACTAAAGTTGACAACGAATAATAAACGTATATAATATCATAAATGATAGAATTATTTTACAAAAGATCTGAAATGACTTACTGGCATGTTTGAAAGGTTTACAAAAAAAAAAAAAAAAACACTCTTGCATAAAAATCTTATATCCAAGAGCCTTGTATAGAAAGAAATATGTTTCTACATATAATTTGCATAAATTATATATTTTTTAAATTAAAGGAATGGTGGATCCCCCCCCCTCACCCGCAATACTTGAGGTTCTTGCAAAATTGCAGTGATTAGTCATGCTGTATCTGAGATACGAGAGAGAGAGAGGCCCCACTTGCTACCCCCAAACTGAGAAGGGTTTTCTCCACAAATCAAGGCAGTTAACTTTTGGGTTATTTTTATCATAAATGCTGTAGCGGTTCTGCACACAGGCACACACACCCCCACTTCTTAAAGGAACCTCACCCCAAAAAATAACTTGAGTTATTTTGAGAAATACATTGTAAAGTGTATGAAGCAAAATATTCTTAACATAATGTAGTTTGTCAGCACGACATGTGCATCACTATTTTCTTGATAATGTGACGTAATATGCCAAGCCGTGAATGTATTCTAAATTAATGATGCTTTCTTCCCAGTGTGTGTTGTGAGGAAGTATTTCATTCACCTGCTACTATCTATTGTACTACAATTGTCAATTGTCAGAAATCAAATTGCATAAATAAGTTGCTGCTCTTCTTGAGTAACGTTTCGACATTAAAGATAAACTTTAGAACTGGAAATGCGATTGCATTGCGAAAAAAAAGGTGTGGAAAGGATCAGAAACAGTCGATCATGTAGCATGTAAGTATTGGTGTGCACTGCAAAGTTCTGGAGTCATCAAAATCATAATAAATTTGAACGAGTCTTGGTAAAGTAACAAGCACTGTACACAGAAAGCTATATATGGGACAACACACATGGTGTCGGGGCTAGTACTACCTTGATTTCCTTGTCTTTCTATGCTCATTACTCAGCCAGTATACATTTTCTTCCAAAATTGTTTGGCACATGTCATTTATTTGTAATCTTGAACATCCAGTGTAAGTTTCGTTTGATTCTGGGATAATTTTTTTTTTTTTTTTTTTAACCAGAACTTGAGTTTATCTTTAAAGGTAATACAAAATTTTGGTATTGGGTCATGAATTTGGTTCAAATGAACATATTGGAAGCATATGCGATCCTACAATATTCAGTGATCGAAATTGACTCTAAAGTTATGAAATTGTAAATAATAAACACTTTATGTTGAATAGCTCCCTCTCAAGGTCAAGATATTAATTAAGCTATAAAACAATGTTAATTGACTAAAATCGACCGTTTAGCTATTCCCGTTCGGAAATTATATTCCACAACTACATATTCTGAGATTTTCATCGTCGCAGCTACCATTGTACGGCCGTAGGAGCTTTTTGAAATTTATCAAAATTTACTGGGAGCACCGGCAAATCTTTATATTCAATTTTTCTTGAAACCAGAAGTGTTTAAGGGGCTAAAATTTCTAGTGCTTTTAATACATCCACAAGGGTATCCAAATATATCAAAATTGTAAAGAATCACTATCCACCCATTTTTCAAAATTTCCCAAAACTTTGTAATACCTTTAATGAAATAGATATGTCAACTGCAATTTTTAATTGATTTTTAACAAATAAGTTAAAATTTTTCCCCTGTTAAATATTTTTTCAACAAATATGTTTTTTACCTTCTCAAATATGATTTTCCCTCATTGAAAAGTAAATGTTTTGTTATTGAATTAAAAAGAATTTCTAACGAGAGCTTTGAGGACGATACATGTACATGTTCCCCTGGTACGTCATATTACCAAGAAAATGGCTGCGGCAATGTCATAATAATAAAATAATAATAAACAATATTTATAAGGCATACTAGGCATGAATTACATCATGCCCAGAATATCTTCATTTATGGATCTCTGGTACATTTTTCGTAAAGATCATTATACATCAATAGGCTGAAATTAATCTCATATTTCAGCAAACCTACGCTTACCGTATTTGCCGGAGTAAGGACCGCAGTATTTTTCGGAAGAGAATATATAAAAAAGTCTGAGTGCGGCCTATGCGCAACAACAGTAAAAAAAAAAAATCGGCAGTCAAAACAGCATGTATTTGTACATATATGGGACCCAAACAACCTCAATCCTCGCAGCCCGTGCATGCCATACACGATCGACTGTAACTGCGGCCAGACAGAAAGCTGAAATAAGACGCCAACTGGCTTGCTGCCTATGGTGTTGGCAAAAATGCAAAACAAAAAAAGTTTTTTTATCTTTTGGAAAAATTATGATTATTTTTTGTCTATGAAATGTCAAAATCGGGGGTGCGGCCTATACAGCGCTGCGGCCTTAACGCCGGCAAATACAGTATTCTTTAGGGCAAGGTTTCCTTTTAACAAATGTGCATGACACACTTTGGTGAAGAATAATTTATTTACAAATGCTTACAACTTTTCATAACATGTAAAGGAGATTAGAGTGAATTATATTGCATATGTGAAGTTTATATGTACATTAAAATCAATATAAAACAAGAAGAAAATATTGGCATTTATTTCTTTCTTATCTTTCAGTTAATAATTTGCTGTAACAAAGAAAAATCATTGCCAACTAAAGTATGAAGTAAATAGGATCAATCAAAATAACATAATACTGTATCATAATTATCAAAAATTAGGAATAAAAATCACAGGTAATGTGAAGACATGTCTCACCTTTCTTCTTGGAGGTTAGCCTGAATTTCTGATACTCTCACTAATGAACGTGCAAACTTGAGATCTACCGATAGCTGTGCAGTACTTTCAGCCCCTAGTACATGGGTATCTTCACTCGCTTTGGCAGCCTGAATAACAAAGGAAGGATATACAACAATATGAACAAGTCAACGCAAAGCGTAGCATCCCCTCTCGCAGGGTACAAATGGCCTATATAAGTCAGAACAAGTTACCTCCATTGGAACCAGTGTTTTGATACCATGAACCTTCATATCAAATTTCATTAAAATTTGTCAAACAATACTAAAGTTATGGATTGGAAACCAGATTCGCATATTTAATGAGCTATGACCTTTGACTTACATGTACATACTCGGAAATTGAACTTAGGCTGCGTTTTGATACCATGTACCTTCTTATCAAATTTCATTAAAATTTGTCAAACATTACTCAAGTTATCAAATGGAAACCAGATTTGCATATTTAATGAGCTATGACCTTTGACTTACATGTACATACTCGGAAATTAGACTAAGGCTGTGTTTTGATACCATGTACCTTCTTATCAAATTTCATTAAAATTTGTCAACATTACTCAAGTTATCGAATGGAAACCAGATTTGCATATTTAATGAGCTATGACCTTTGACTTACATGTACATACTCGGAAATTGAACTTAGGCTGTGTTTTGATACCATGTACCTTCTTATCAAATTTCATTAAAATTTGTCAAACATTACTCAAGTTATCGAATGGAAACCAGATTTGCATATTTAATGAGCTATGACCTTTGACTTACATGTACATACTCGGAAATTGAACTTAGGCTGCGTTTTGATACCATGTACCTTCATATCAAATTTCATTAAAATCCGTCAAACATTACTGAAGTAATCGATCGGAAACCAAATTTGTTACGGACGGACGCACGGCAGCGTTTCGTTGGCGAGGGGATAATGAGACGGAGCTAACCCTAATGCCAATACTCAGAAGTTCAGAACCTAGAATTTTTGAAGCAATAAGTTTGAAATTCTTTGAATTTACAGTGTAATATGGTGGCCAATCAACACACTTTAGATGCACTATAGCAGCCAGCATGTGATTTTTTGTTAATGCACACAGCAATCAAGACCACTACCGCATCCACTACTGCTTCTAACCTTAAAGCTTATCTGCCATACTTTACAGGAGGGATTAGACCGCTCTGCAAGGTCACTGGACAGGTGGTTATCTCATCAACTCAGCTCTCAGTTAACATAAGAAAAAGAGGATCATGGGGGACCAATGGTCACCGATTATGCATTGTTTGTTATATAGAGGGCGCAAGTAGCTGCCAGTAGTGCAGTGGGCCTTTAACAGTAACCCTAAGTCACAATTGCTTTGATTTTTCAGATGTTTGTACAAAAGAGAGCACATTGAATACCATCAGTGCACAATAACAGTTGACCTTATACCTGTCGCTTCTCCAATTTACAACAAACCTTTCCACTGAAGTAATTCATTACTTTTTGATGCCATGGACACATTTCAGATTAATGTTTTATTTGTATAATGTCACGAATATGTATTCAAAATATCTTTATAAGTACAAGGGGAAAATAATATTTTCCCACAAGAGTTTGAGGTAAATGATGATTGACCAGTACAGTCAGTACCTACTTCTTTAACTCATTTATATTTCAATCATTATGACATGGGCAATGTACTATGTTACAAATCTTATGAATTTTCATATAGAAAATAGGTTATTGTTGCACATACATGCAGCTGATGTAAGTTAGTGAACAGGAGATCAATTAGTTTCTTTTCTGTGATTTTTCTGTGATTTTACTGATTTTTACATTGTTTCTGTGAAGTGTTGGAGATGAGCAATTCAACCATGTAAGATCACCTCTTCTTAATAGGGACTTTTAGATTCGTACGAAGACAATGGGGATTGCTACGATCGACGTCCTTTTAATGCACTGCCTTAAATGGATGTCACACGTATCAGTCCATGCAAATCTAAAAGTCCCTAATAACTGTAGGAGACAACCTGGCATTGTTTCAAAAGAAATATTAACTATAATATATCCGACTTTATACCCTGGGAGATGGATGGTGGAAAAGTAACTGCTATGATACTCTTATGATTTGTCTTCCAGTGTTAACCACACTGTTTTGGTGAATACCCTCTTGTCACTTGGTGTTAAACCAAGGTCAAGCCCTGGAATGGTTTCAATCATACCTGTCATGCCTTTCCCAAGCTGTCTTGATAAATGGCTGCTCTTCAGATTTTGTACCACTTACATGCGGAGTTCCGCAAGGCTCTGTGGGCGGGCCCACCATGTTCTCGTTATATTTAACCGGTTTGAAGAATATTTTTCATCAGTATTCTCTTTCACGTCATGTTTTTGCTGACGATATTCAAATATTACTTCTTTCAAACCCAATCAGAGCAATGCAGCCAGCGCTATCCATAACATTGAGACTTGCGTACAAGATGTTCATAATTGGTTGAACTCACATTCACTAAAATTCAATCTCGCCAAATGCGAATTTGTAATGTATAGTTCTAAGACTCGGTTAGAGAAGATTTCCATCACTTCAATTACTCTTGCTGGACATGAAATTACCTTATCCAATACATGTCGCAAATATGACAATGTCTACTCTACACAATTTCAATATGTCTCAAAATCAGTACGTTATCAGTCACATAATTTAGTTTTTAATCGTAAATATCTTAACCGTAGTGCCACTGAGAAAATTACTCATGCTTTAATCTCATCTCGCTTGGATTTAGGTAATGGCCTTTTGTTTGGTTCGCCTCAAAACCTACTCGCAAAATTACAAAAATTATAGAATGCTGCTGCTTGTGTCGTGAACCTCTCCAACAAGTGGCAAATCACACCAGTCCTCAAATCACTCCATTGTTTGCCCGTAGGACAATGTGTTGTTTTCAAGATTATTTCACTGTATACATGACTCTGCTCCATAGTACAACAACGGATTGATCAAGCATTACATTCCCTCTAGACAGCTACGTTCTCAAAATTCTGGCTAGTTACTTGTTATTCCTAGGGTTAAAACAAAGTGAGGGGAGCGAACCTTCGCTCATGCTGGGCCTTCTTTATTAAATAGTCTCCCTCAATGGATTAAAAATAGCAGTTCTGATGAAGTGTTAAAACACAATCTTAAGATATATCTGCTTAATTTAGCCTATAATTGATTACCATTACCTTTCATGTCTGTACCTTTCCTATTGCACTTTTGTATATACCAGTATTTATTATGTATTTCATCTTTTGCAAAAGCTGCGCCTTAAACATTTGATTGTCAAGTGGATTTGGCACCTTACAAATCTTATGTATTATTATTATTATATTAATACTCATCAACTATTTAGGATATTCATTTCTAGTTACGCAACAAACAATAAGCATTAATTTTATGATATCCCTTCTCAGAAGATCCACAACCATTGCTTAACACATATCTATGTAGGTTTCTCCACATCTGTAAATGGTTAACAAATTGTAATGGTTCATTTGGTTCAAGCTCAATCCACCCACAGGGAATTATTTTGCAGTTTTCTCATTGTGGGTAAATTCTGTAATGAAACCTGTTTTCATTACATCAAAGCATTACCTGTTTCTCTCCAAACTCTGTAGCCCATCCTGCCATATGTTTAGTCAGGTCTTCTGTGACATAGGAAGTGAGGGAGGAGGATAGCTGCATTAAGGCTGGAATATTTTCTGCAGCATTAAATTCTGATGTGACAGTTTTGCTGGAGGAGTCTACATTGTCAAAGCACTTCTCAGGAACCATGGATTTCTTCTCCAAATTATCACCATTTGTTTCACTGCTGCAAATATAGATAAATATATAGGAATTACATGTTACATACTAAAGCAGTCTTACAATGGCTCTTATGTTGAATACATCACAGTTTGCTCAATACAAACTATATTCACTGGAATTCTTCATTAATCCATGTACAAACCATGTGTTGAAATGTGTTTTGGGTGGAAATGCACCAAGTCAATGAATTACATTATAAACTGTTTTCTTAGACATTGAAACAATAGAAAAGTTTAATGAAGATGTGTTAAAAGTCCATTATTTCATGATTTTCCAAGGTGTAAAGTTACTAACATTTTGAAATGTCACTTGAAAGCAAAAAGGTCAAATGCCAAACCAAAGGATAAGGTCTAGAGCATAAGGCGTAATTTTTTTTTAAAAATGTCGTATTACCCTTTGCGACTGACCCAAAAATCTTGAAATCTATGGTTGGCTTCTTGAGGGTGTATAGTCCTGAAAAGGACTGTTTGTGTAGTCTTGAAAAAGACAGTTGGTTATCTTTCTTAGCTTATAGTTTTAAGGAGAACTGTAGCGCTTGGAGAGGAGCGGTGGGAGTGGCTCGACGATGGACAGTCAGACGGACGAGCAGACCATCCATGTCCACTCCCCGATGACTCAAGCCTGCACGGTCATGTATTTTTCCCCGACGTCCGCACCCCTGTGACTTAAGCTCACGCACGCCAGCTATTCTCCACTCCTGACGATGGATAGTCAACCTGTTTGAAACGTCGAGCCACTCCCGCCACTCATCCTCTCCAAGCGCTATAGTTCTCCTTAGAACTATAAGCTAAAAAAGGTAACCAACAGTCTTTTTCAAGACTACTCAAACAGTCCTTTTCAGGACTACACACCCTCAAGAAAGATTACCAAGAGTCCTTTTCAGGACTCCTCAATCCTCTCTCTCTCTCTCTCACACGGTGCACCCGCAAGCCTACTGTATAAGATATATTCTGGCACCTCGTTGTCAAAAAGAATGATATTCGGGCACCTCTTTGCCCAAATATGGGGCTATTCAGGCACTTCGCTGCCTGAAATTATCCTGTTTCTAAAATATCATAATAGTCACATTTGTATAGCGCTCAATACTATGTTTCTAAACGATTTACTTAATGAGGGCAAGAAAGCAGAGCGAGAAAGGGAGAAAGACACTATATTTTTTGTATTAAAAGAGCTATTTCCTCATGAAATTAGTTAAACGGTTTCTAATATCTGGTTTTCACGAAACAACAATATTCCACAGTATTTTTTTGATATAGCTAAATTTCTCTCAATGCACCCCTAGAAAGGTCTGGTGGAATCCTGGTTGAAAAATGCTGAAGTAGACTATTGTGGATGAAAACTGAACTTACCTTGATGCTGTTGGTGGAGTGCCTGTCCTCTCTTTGATGTCCGTCGCATGCTTCTTGCCATCTTTATTATCAGTTTCTGTCCAGTGCTTTTCACTTTCAGAACTGTTCTCAGTATTAAGGAGCTTGTCATTCCCAGAATGGTGTTTTTCCTCATTTTCGTCACCATTAAGTGATGGTTCTGAATCTCTGGTTCTTTCCTGTTCTTTCCCCTTTTCCCTGTCAGGATCTCTATCTTTCTCCTCCTTGTCTTGAGTCCTGTCTCTTTCCATGTGGTTTTTACTGTCTCTATCCCTCTCCATTTCTCTATCATCTTCCTTTTCTGTCTCCCTTTCTCTACCCCTTTCTTTATCCCCGTTTCTTTTCGTTTCCCTGTCTCTGTCCCATTCTCTATCTCTTTCATGATCTTGGTCATGCTCTTGATCCCTTTCTTGGTCCTGCTCTTGTTCAAGATCGCCTTCTCTTTCCCTTTCACGGTCACAATCTCTGTTCCTTTCCTTGTCACAATATCTATCACGTTCTCTGTCCTTGGACAGTGAAGAGTTCCTTCCACTACTTGAAACAGAGGACGAGGACGTTGGAGTATGATTTGACACTCCCCCTCTAGTTGTGTGGTTTTTCCTATACCTGTCCTCTGTAGATGATGTATGGGGTATTCTTTCTTCTGTCCCTTGCTGATGGGTTCTTGACGTGCCTGGCGTTGAATGCTGCAGCATAGGGGAGGGGTGAGACGGAGAAGGGGAGGGGTGAGACGGAGAAGGGGATAGCGAGGCTCCTGACATTGGTGATTGGCTTGATAACCCTGAAGAGGAAATGTAGAAACAGTATGTAATATCTGACTTCACATACAAAACTCAGGCTAAATTCCTTTTCTATAAGCAAATATTTACAATTTTTCAATTTTTTAAGCAACTATAAGTGAGTGTTTTTGTGACCTAATAATTCCCCCCCCCCATATTTCCTACTTATCTCATCTTTTATTGTCAATAAATATCACCACACATCTCAGGGACTATGCATGCTTTTGACAGAGTTGCCTGTCAGAGGTTAACATGTGAAAACAAGTGTTCCATCATTTATTGAAATTCCATTAGTATTTCCTTGAAATAATGTAAAATGTGGCTTACATAAATTTGATAATGTGGGAAAGATTAATAAAGGCTCAAAATGTTCAACTCCCTCCCCCCATAAATCCAAGAGACTATGCATGTTTTTGGCCTTGCAGCCACCAAAGGTTAACACATGAATCTGATCACCAACTGAGGAGGATTAAGTAACAGCTAAATCCAGCCAGATACGATGTAAACAAAATCAATGAATGTTAAAGAGTGGAAGTTTAAAACCAGTTCTAAAGTCTACTAGGAACAGAACTGGAAGAATCTAAACTGGCAGAACCATGAAAAAACATTAAGCATCGACAGAAAAAGCTCAAAAGAACACTTCCTAGATGTAAGAGGAAAAAAAACCGCTGGCTTACAGAAGAAGTCTTTAAATTGGCTGACAAAAATAAGAGGGATTAAAACAAAGGGCCAATAAACAAAAAAGGATCAATGTAGAGAGTACAAGGACTTAAATAGGAGAGATAAAATGTGCTACCATGGAAAAGGATGTCTCCTAAACAACACAAAAGATATGTACAAAAACATTAAATCATGGTTCGTTGCCAGGACTTTGACTGTCATGCTGAAACCTCAGTTTTAAATTTTCTATTTTGGGTATTTCAAAATCAAATTTACAACACAGAACTTTAAGTATACAATTAAAAAAGTGAATTCAATTGATATTCAAAATACATGCTGTAGAAATAAATGAGTATAATTCAGATGACAACGAAAGGTTCTTCTCACGTCTCTAAAATTCAGGTTGCAGGGAAGGAGTCAAGCTGGGTGGTACCGAGCGTGTTCAAAAGCAGAAGTCAAACTAGAAATGCAATTGTACTAGAACGATATGCATGCATTGATGCCCGTGTTTCTACATGAGAGACGAAAGAGCATTTCTCGACTATCTACAGCAAGTTGTTAGAAGTTTTTAGCATGTAGGATAGTGGAGATAGGTAGTCCGAAAGAAATGACTACAAAACGACCTGAAACAGACAAGACGGTACCACTGTCACGCATGAGTGATTTCTAAAAAAACGTTAAATTCGGTGACCTTGATTGGATGCTAGAGACTATGCCTACGAAGTTCAAAAGGAATCAGGAAAAGGAAGGGACCTAGATGGCTCACAATCACTGCGTTAAAACAAATGGGATTTGGGTGAAAGAAGACCACGTCATGACACCACCTTTGGCACAAATGGCTTTCCATACTAACATGATCATACGGTATAGCCACAATCAGGGTGCAAAATCATTTTGCACTTGGGTCCAAAAATGAAGTATGCAGTAGAGCACTTCAGGGAATAATTTTCCTCAAATTTTTTGATTAGCAATTTCAGGCGATGGATAAATATTTCAAATGAAATTCTGTACATTTCTATGGCAGAAAACTGCTACACAAAAGATATTTTGTATAGCAGTCATGCAAAAATGCATAGCAAATTGCGATGCGATACCAGGAAAATTATTCCCTGCACTTTCATCAATCCCAAATTGTTCATCCATACCCTGGGGTTAATACCCTGCAATATCCTGGAGGAAACTATCTTGGTTATCATTTTTATGAACAGCAACACAACACGGGGTGGTAGGTGTTACGGACACTACACAAAGCTACTGAAATGGAATTTTCAAGCATTATTTACCTTAAGACACAAATATCTTGTACTTCTTTGGGGAATTTTTTGGCCATTTGTGAAAAATAAAACAATTCACACTCAATTACCAGTGTGTTGGCTCAGTCAGTACAGCTTCCGCCTCACAACCGGGAGGTCGTGGGTTAGAACCCCGGCCGCGTCATACCAAAAGACGTTAAAAGACGGATGTTGCTGCTACCTTGTTTGGCATTCAACAATAAGGGATAGAGCACATCGATCTGGCGCTGCTCAGTGGCTGCCAGGCTCATGATCGATTGGGCAAAAAGAATTTCCATTTTCGGTTTAACTTAATAAAATCCGGAGTGGACTTTAATAAAAGATTATTAGGTGATACGTAACGAAGTCTACGTATCACCTATTGATTTCGTCAAGATTTTCTTTTTTATTTTTTATTTTATTATTCTTCCTCGATTTTGTTCGCAGGATATCTCAAGACTGAATCAAGCCATTGTCATGAAACTTTCAATGATGATAGATCTTAGTCTAACTTAGAACTGCGTGACTTTTCAAAGACTCAAAATTATCGTGACGTCATCCAGGCGCCATTTTGTGAAAATCAATTTATGATCATATCTTCATAACGGAAAGTAATTTTTCATTCATATTTATCATAAATAAGATCAATATCCGTCCGGTCAATTTCAGGTCAATAAACGTGCGCAAATGCGCGCGTGCGCGTTCGTCCGCGCGTTTACGCGCGCGCAAAATTTTAAAATGCTCTAAATCATCCCAATTTTTTTTTGCATACGTTTCAGGCCATATGGAGCATTTGACAAAAAATCGAGCCCACGCGCATGCGCGCGCGTTTTTTGCGCACACTAGCATTTTGCAACATAGAATCGCCGAATTTTCTCTATCATCTTATTTGGCACATTTTTCCAAGCATTTTGATAACTTGTTCATCTTTTATTAACGCAATGAGCGTCCGTCAAAGTTGACAGTGCGCGCGGACCTGCCTTATCTTTATCCACAATACATGAGCAAAAACATGCCTATACAAAATTCTTTGTAACCCTTCAGAATAGATAGCAACTCCAAATATTTTTTCATATTTAGATAGATTATGCGTCGTAAATATGATTTCATGTCTCATTTGACCTTCAATTAACTCATGACGTCACTATAATGTCCTCCAAACTCAAACATTTAATTTGCATGTTATGACGTCAGCATATTTTTTGAAAATTGATTGTATCTCTGTAAATATTGATTGATTTTCTTTCAAATTTCGATATGTTCTAGCTGAAACAATTCTCTACAAATATAGTGTCCACAATTTTTCATTTTGACAAAGGCATCATGGCGTATTTTTGCGATTTAAGGAGGCATGTCAATTTGTCACATTTTGCGTGTATTCTCTATGGGACATGACTATTTCTCAAAACTGGATTCTACACTCCGGTCTTTCACGAGCAAAATCTCCGTTGTCTTAGCTTAGTTTAAGCTGAGCTTCGAATATGTTGTAGCTGGGACAATAATCTATCACACGTGTGCATTTCATTTTTCGATCAGATGCCGGGATTATGCTCATATTTCACTTGCAAAGTAGGATTTCAGAATTCCATTTCCCGTTTACGTGTAATCGCTATGGGAAATGTTTTGGTATATCGATAACCCACTTGACTTCCATCCTCGAGATCCATGGTTCGAGTCCGGGTGTCTCTAACAATATTTGTCTTCACTTTATTTTTTGACCTTTCACTGTACCACCTCCTTTGAGTATTAAAACACGTAGAATCGCAAATAATGTAATAAACAACCCTATTTTCTTTATTATCACCCTATTTTCACTTAATCCATTACTTTTTGCGTTTAATCCCTATGGGAGATTACTTTTTCTCAAATCTGGATTCTACATTCCTGTGTTTTGAGCAATATCGCCAATATTTCTGCTTGGATTTTGTTGATTTTTGAGTATGTTGTAGCTGAGACAAGTTCCCACGAGATTTATGTAGACTATCTAACATTATAATGACGTTATCATAGTAAAAAAATCAATCATAGGTGACATGTCAATTATCATATCGGATACCTAAAGGGGGCGCTATACCACTTTCAATCATGGTCATCTGGAAGGCATTGTTCTCAATTGCATCTCTCTCTCTCTCCTCTCTCTTGCTCTTTTACTTCTCCTCTCATGTTCTGCCCCTCTCCTTTTTTGGTTTGTCTCTGCATCTATCTATCTCTCTTCTCTTTCACCCTCTTCCTCTCTCTCTCTCTCTCTCTTGCCTTGCGTCCCTCTTATTCTCTTGGTCTGTCTCCCTCTGCCCTACAGTTGAAACTTGACTCATGGATAGACCATAATGGGAGTAGTAAACGAAATATGAAATCGTGAAAATACGTTCTTTATTATGTTACACATGAGCATACGTATCACCTAATTCGTCAAAGTGACGAATTAAAGTCTAGTTATTATTATTTCAGTCCATAAATTAAGACGCAGTATACACATCAGAGGTAACACAAGGTAAAATCTGATAAATGCCATTTTTTCGAAACCTGAAACCAACCAAACATAGGTAAATGAGACAAATTCCGAACTTTAGTCCCATCTGTATACATACCAAAACAAATCAAATTGCTAGAAAGGCTCGTTTCATATCATAAGTTGTCCTAAATAACTTATGTACAAAATCCTATAGGATGTTACGGACACTACATTTTACACATATAGTATACATGCTAGTCTTTGATACAATATATAAGTAATCCATTTGCTTTTTCTTCTGCCATCATTGTTGTTGCTGTATATCTTGAGGCCAACAGAGAGTATGTTTTCAAATCGTCATTACCAAGTCTCTTGGATGGGACTTAAAGGAAAGCCCACCCTTCAATAAAAGCGGAAAAAACTGACAAACAGAAAACATAAGTCGGTTCTATGTACATGTAGTTTCAGGGGTGGCCCCATTGGGTTTTTTGTTTTCTTCTCCATCTTCTTTGTTCACTTTTAAACATTGAAAGAAGCCTAATTTAGTCATAAGAACATGAAAGAAGTATAACTATTTAGACAATTAAGGAAGATGAAAGACATAAAAAAGAAAATCATC